TTAAAGCTCGTTTCATCCATTACTTCTGGTACATAAATTGATTATAGATGGGAAAAGCAAAGTAGCACTTTCTGAAAAAAACTCAGCAGTCAAATCTGTGACAATTTGAAGTTCTGGATATAAACTGTGGGCTATGGAGTTGAAACTCATCATGGTGAGGGAGTCTGTTTTTATTTTAGGTTGTCTGCAAATTCTGTCTAGAGTTCTACAGCCATTATGGTCTTATTTTTAAAGTTTGTCTTGAGCTTTAAATGGGAGCAGAAGTTGAAGAGCAAAAAACTGTGAACCAGGAAGGTTTGTGGTCATGTTCCCTTTTTTTAGCAACATATTTCCATGGTGTTGTGTATCTAGATTAAAGTGTAATCTTAAATTTAGAGCTTGTGGAGTTGTAGTTGCTTTTTATAAAAATATAAGCTTCCAGTTTCAATTTAAAGCTGTTTTCTGGAAATGGAAAGATACTATTGTATAAATTTTGTCTTTGGTTATGTGCATCAGATTTGCTGCTGTACACAAAAGAGGGGGGATGAATCTGCATAGAAAATAATGAAGTTAAGCAGGATAAGCCAAAGTGGGTGATGACCTATTTTATCTGAATTTGACAATTCCTCTGATTTCCAATGTTTTCCCTGGTGTTGCCACCCTTATGGTGCAATACAGTGCAGAGACCCAGCAAGGGATGGGGACAAAGGGCACCCATGGAAGTGCTGCAGCTGGGATTGCAGTGAAGCTGTGCCGAGGCTGTGTGCAGAGGTGTCCTGTCTGTTCAGTTCTAGGTCTGTTCATGTCAACAGCAGCAGATGCAGAGGCAGAGGAGCAGACAAGCACCCTCAGGCAATAAGGAGGGATGGAGCTGCCTCGTGGCCCTGTGCCAGCAGAGCTGTGTGATACTGAAAGGAAGGAATCTGACACCACCACATGACAAAGTGGCCACAGTTCTACAGTGTTTTACCTTCAGCCGAGCCAAATAGATCAGGACATAAGGAACATTGCCTATGCCAAGAGGCACATCCTGCTCTTTGAACAAAATTTGTCACAGCCAACAAATTCGGGAGGTCAGGAGCTTGGTGATGTGACCTGATGAGGTTGGTGGGGGTGGTTCTGCCAGAGAAGCAGAATGGTCTGATCCTGGACAGGACTTTGCTAAGTGTTTCAGACCTGTCAGTGTCAGGATGAGCTCTCTGGTGTTACTGCTTCGGGCTTTGATGGTGCTTTTACATTGAGTTGAAGCAATTGGGTGCTTAGATTCCCCTCAGGCTTGAACAATTGGCAGAGGTGGCACTTGTCTGCTCTCATAGAGCTGAGTGCAGTTGTAGCTGTGCACCAGGATCCTGCCTACTTACACATGTAGTTGGAAAAAAAAACCACATGGCAAAGCCCACCATGTAGTAAGGAAATCTCTGTAGCAGCAGAAGACTCCAGACTCAGTAGAAATACAGAAACTGAGCAAGAACTCTCTTATCTGCCAGTGCATTAAGAAGGTTGCAGGGAAGAGCTGGAGTATTCACTGCAGATACAGGGGAAAGTCTTTCACACTGTGCCTGGAAGGCTGTAAAAATATCCCCAAATTCAATTTATTACAGATGCATGTATGTCAGATGACACTGTGAGGCTGAATTTTTAGATGCCATAAATGCCTGCTTTGGAGAGGTTCTTGTGAGTCAGGGAACTCATGAGGATGTAACTTCTGACTTGTGCTCTGAGCAGTGCAGAAAATATTTACAGCAGAGGTGTGTTTAGAAGTTGCTCTGCAGCACTGACCATAATCACTCATGTTTGGTATCCTTTGAGAAGCACTATAAAAGGTCCCCAGACTCTGCCACTTCATTGTTCATCCAAAAACCCCACCACCCAACAACAAAAAAAAGCCAGAAAACGAACCTTTTAAATTGAAGAAGCTTGTTTAAGAATAGCTAATAAAATCAGAAAGGTAAATACTTTGAGATGGTACAGAGACTGTTTAAGAAGACATTTTATTGGAGGACCAGACAGTTGACAAAATCAGACCACAGGGATGAGAGGTAATAGCAATACACACCTCAAAAGTTTAAATTTTATTCAATGAGAAAAATTGAAAGAACAAACTTTTAAGCTTAAAAAAACCCAATAAGGTTATGTCCTGTCCAAAATGAGTTGAGGGACATTTGCCTAAAGGTCTGCAATTTTAAAGGAGTATTTTTCCTTCCCAACACATCAGGGATGGGAAGCAAGCTAGAGTCTCTGAAACCAGGAGATAATGCAGGAGAACTTTTTAGGAAGAACTCTGAAAACTGGAATGTTTAGAGGCTCACAAAATCCAGTCTTCTGCTGTTAAAGGATTATCCTTCTGAAGTAAAAGAGTTAATATAGCAACAATGTCGTTTGTCAACAAAACACATGCCAATTTTGTTTTTTAAATGATAACCTGGTTTCTGTTAAGGATTAACACAACAGCCCATAAAACACAGGAACAGATCATTTGGGTTGTCTGGTCTTCATTGAAGAGTTCTAAAGAATGAAATAGTTGTGCCATGGACTATGGAGTGTGACATTTAAAAAGTCTTGATTACAGAGAAGAGATGTGTGTCTATGGGTTTTTTCCCCCCCAAAGGGATCCAGAAGAATGAGATCACATAGTGCTTCTTCTAATGCCTGTCTCATCCCTGAGATCTCTGTATCAGAGCAGAACTTTCCTTGTTTGCTTTTCTTGAAGTGAACATGAGGTTCAGGAGTGAAGGACTCGGGGTGGATGTGCAGTGTGTGAGTTCAGGGCTGTGCTGTACAGCAGCAGCCAGTCTTTCCTGGATGATCTCATCTCCTTGACCACTAGGAAGAGAGCTGGGTTTAGCTGGAATGATCACATCAGGACTGGTGTGTGTGTGTGGCTCAGGGAGTTCTGTTTTCTCAGCCTGCTCAATATCCTGCTCCATGCACCACAAGCCAGGAGTTTGCTGCCTGTCTGCTCTTTCTGAGCAAAGGAAGGGTCTGGATCCTCTGGGACCTGCACTTCAGAAGCAAAGCATGTTTTTAAAAGAAGGGATTGACTTATTTTAAAGCACTGTAAAACTGGGCTTCAAGAATTTGAAATCTAGAGAGTCATGCTACCAAAACTTGGAGTGTAATAAGAGAGTGTCCCATGTTTGCAAAGATGGTCTCTTCTCCCAGCTAACAAGATGGCACAAGAGGACATAGCCAGAAGTTGCTCCAGGGAGGTTTAGGGTGGATATCAGGAAAAATTTTGTCATGGAAAGGTTTGTCAAGCGCTGGAATGGGCTGCCCAGGGAAGTGGTGGAGGGATTTGAAAGACGAGTAGCTGTGGCACTTTGGGACGTGGTTCAGTGGGTGAGCTTGGCAGTTTTGGTCAATAGTTGGACTTGACAATCTTAAAGGTATTTTTCCACCAAAACAATACTATTTCATGCTATTAAAAAAATTATAATCTAAGATTTGATAAACTTATTGATCTCTAAGGATCAAAATTTCAGTGTAAACAATAATCAGTTATTGCCATTTCCATGTGACAGTGACTGAGGGAAGTCAAGGACAGGGAACAGTTTCTGCAGGGGACTTAACGCACATAACTTGAAGAAATGTAACTTTGGGGTGAAATTTTGAAATAATATTTTCATACCTGGTTAATGTTTTATGGAGCAGGTGGCCAAGGACGCCACAGGAACAAAACTGCTAGAGTAAAAGAGCAGCAGGACACTGCCTCTGGTATAGCTGGATTCTTACTTTTGCAAGAGCCCAAAATTTCAAAGCTCAGTAGCCTAAAAATATGGAACTGTGTTGAAATAAAACCTGAGCTGTGCAACCAGAGGATATTAAGAGAATTGTAGACTATGGAAATGAACAGAAACAAAAGACACAAAATAGGAATGTGCATAAGTATTGCAGTAAGGAAGAGGAGACTCTGTGAAGGCTGGCTTTGCCTTATTGTCCTGCTGGATAGGTGCAAAATGATTCTTGTGAGGGCAGAGCAAACAATCCAAACTTGATACAAAAAATGGCCTCTGAGCTGCCCCTTAGAGTGCAGGGTCAAGCTGTGTCCCACTTCCATGGAAAAGTGAGTTCAGTTCTTATTGCAGTCAAAACAAATGGAATAATAGAGATCAGGAGGGGGAGGAATAGAAACCAAAGCAGAGAACATTGTTGTGTTATCTGTAACAATCACCTTGGGTTTGTGTCGTGTGATGCTGGTGGCTCTGGTTATTCTCTGCTTCTCAAAGAAGTTACAGAACTGGAAGTGTAGCAGGAGCACTGGGGTAGAGATGAGCTCCCATGAGAACAGCTGAGTAGGCTGAGATTAACCAGCCTTGAGAAGAGACTTTTGGGGGGTCAAGTGTGAATCAGGACTTCAAAATCCTCAAGAAAGGTGTCAGGGAAATGCTTTTCCTCTCTTTTCCAATTTTAAAAATGCAAGTGTGAAGAAAAAAAATGTGTTGGACAGGAATTGAATGGGGAGCTGTAGGGTGTTGCGTTTTCAAAGAGCTTACAAAGGTTCAGAAAGTGAGATTGTGTAAAATATCTGCTGAACAATGAAAGAATGTTCTTGGAAAGTACAATTGTGTGCTCTGTCCTCTGCATCCACTGTCAGCTATTTCTGGAGACAGTACATCAGGCTAGATAGACACCTGTCCTCATATACTATATCTGCACTTCGGTGGTTTTTTACTGTCTTGTTAATCACCTATATAAATAGACTTTTTCTGATATATGAATAAAAATACCTCACAAATACCAAATTGGAAATTAAATTGCTGATTGTTGTCCAGTCCTTTTCCTACCAATTAAGAGCTAAAGAGTAGCTGTAGTTGTGCATTGGAAACCTGTCAGTTACTAAAGGAGACTTATATTTTGTCTTGGATTCAATAAAAGACATGAGTAATGGAAAATCTTTAGTAATTTTGTCATTCTTAAATAATTTGTGTGTGGGTTGGGTTTATTTTAGTGCTATATTTCTGCTGCAGGGAATCTTGTGCCATTCTTTTGATTGACTGATATTTTATTTGGTTTTTTTGAAGGTACATGGGAATAGGACTTTCAGCTCAAGGAGTCAACATGAACAGGCTTCCTGGTAAGTCACTCTTAAAATTTGTTTTGATTTACAATCTGTGTTAAATATTCGTTTGAAATAAAGATTTTTCTTTATGTGTATAAATTAGTGAATGTGTGTTTCTATTAATAAAATCGCATTACTGTAATTGTCTTATATCTGGAAGTTTCAACCTATTGAGTGTTATCTGAAATTGAGTTACTGGTGTTGTCAATGCAGACATGATGATTTTAGCAGATAATAGAAATTAAAACTAAACTAATGAGTAATGGGTAAGACAACGAACTGTCAGACAGGTAAACTCTTCTTTGTGTCTGAAAAGTAAGTAGGAAAATCATTTTGAATTTAATCTGTATATTCCACTTGACAAATTTATATGAAAGAATCTGAAAATGACAGGATAATTGGTCTGTTGTATTGTCTCTCTTCTTTCCTTCTTCCCACTGAAAGACTATAGAAATATGAGAATGGTATTTCCAGTTAATATTGTTGCTTCTTTTGTTTGAAATGTGAGGTTTGCTGCTGAGTTGGTTGAGTGGCTTCTTTTAAGAAATAAATAATTGGTAACCCTTCTTTGACAATATCCAATTTATTAAGTACAATAACAGTTTCTAGATATGTATTGATGCAGTGACTTCTATACCAGAAATTCTTTCAACTGGGCTTGAAATTGGAAGTTTGTATTTGGTAGAAAGTAAATGTTCTCCAGATGCCAAAATGAATGACAGCTGGTCAAAAAGGTTTTTTTTGCTGTGGGTGTTACTTCTGGTGAAGTTGTTTTATAAATGATATCTATATTCAGCCCTTGTTATAGACCTTGGTATCTGGAAAGGAGAATGTTTGGTGAATGTCCTAACAAAAGAAAGATCTAATAATTGTCTTAAGGAGAATGGTTTGAGTGACACCTGTGCTTTAAAAAATTTGCATCTTACTGCAAACTATATTTGTTAGTAATTGTTTTGAGAACTGCACCAGTCACTCCTACTCTCTCTGCACTTTCTTTCCCCCCAGTCCTCCTGATCCAAGTGGGTTTTGTGCCGTGTACAAGGCAAAGCATGACTCTAGTCCTGTCATCTCTTTCCAGGGTTGTAGTGCTTGGAAAAGGGGTTGTTTGGCTACTAATGGAGCCTGTTCTGTTCCAGAAATGTCTCTATGGCATGTGTGGTGGAAAGATGGGGGAATGTCTTGTAGACTCAGCCTTGCAGATGGTTGATTGGATTATGCTTAATTTAGGACTCTCCTGGGGTTACAACACAGGTACATACAGGGCTCAGTACTAACCTGAGATGGTGTGTACTGAATGTCTCAGGTGTGCTGTCCTGAAATTGAACAGCCAGTGTAATTTCTTCTTTTTTTTGTAATTTCTTCTTTTTTTTTTTTTCCCCCTTTGGTGACCAAAAATTACCCCAACCACTTCTGATAAATGACTTAAAAGCCCAGGAGTTACATGGGCAGCATTTGTGGCCAGTTTGAGTCAAAGTGCCTGTATACCACTGTCATTTCTAGAGTGCATGTGATGAACATGGAATTCTTTTCTCTCAGTGAAATAAAGCATAAGTGAACTTGAGACTTGAGATAGTGCTTATTTAGCAATGAATTGTACAAATTTGATCCTATGAACCTGTTGTTTGTTTGATCACATGCAGATTATGCTGCCAAGAGTCATTCTGTGGTCATAGTTTTAAGTTGCTCTCCCATCATTTGTGGAAGTTTAACTGCATGGCTCTGTATTACAGCTCAGTAATTATCTTCCTAGCTTTTGGAGAATGAGTGTGATTTTTTTAAAAAATATTTTTTAGTACATTGTTCAGGTAACTAAAGTGAGTAACACATTTCCAGGCTTAACTGTTATCAGGTCCTTCCCAGCACAGAGTAAGTGAGAGCTCACAAAGAAGTGACAGACTTTGGAGTCTTGACTTGGCTTCATGTCAAAGTGTAATTTCAACTTTTTGTGACCTGAAACGCTGCCAGGTTTGTCTCCTTAGACCCTTTCTAAGTCACTTCTGCTTTAACAGATCGAATTTCACTCAGAGTGCTGCCAGGGAAGTGTGTAACCACTACGAGTGGTGGTTGGGAGCCTGGTAGAGGAGCCAAAGTTGGTCCCTTTATTGTTCCCAGTTCCACCGGAGATCCTCGGTGGCACCTTGGGAGTCCTAATTCAAAGAACAATTTTGTTGCTGGGTTCTGTCTCAAACTCCTTTTCCCCCAACAAGAACAAACACTTTGGCCATATCTAGTTCCAAGTCAGGGCATTTGTGCTTTATTGCCAAATTTATTTTGGCTTCAGTCCAGCTGGGTGCTGGTGGGGGTAGTGCTGAGCTTTCTCTGAAGGTTACAAGTGTGATTGGAGCCACATGAGCTGAGTTCCCTTAACTATACCTGTCTGCATTGGGAATAGAGGCTGCTTTTAATTGGAGAGTTCCCCTATTCAAGGTTTCTTTGTGCTGTGCTTTGAAATTCAGTCACCAGGTCTGAAATAATTGTGGGGTTATTATTAACTACCAACTTTTGTGACCCTCTCATATCTTGATTTTTAAAAATTTTTAATACATTTAGATCATTTACTAATAAGCATTCTACTTGAAACCAGTGGCTTTTAGTGAAATGTCTGCTCACTTCTTTCCCCACATTCATTTTTTTTTCACTTGTGCTCAGCATTTTGGTATTTGAGGATGAAATTACATGTTGCAGCTGAACTGATCTAACTCCGTGTCATCAAAGGAGAGAAACCTGACCCTTCCCTCCTCCCCACCCCATCTGCACAGTCACTCTTCTTCCCCGGTGCAAGCCTTTGGCTCTGCCTCTTGTCACCTTGGCCAGGCCAACTTTCAGGCCAGGCAGGAACCTGCCTGTCTCTCCTCTGTTGGGCTGATTCCTTCAGGATTCATGGAGCAATGCTCTTACTTGTGCATCTGACATGTAACATATCTGCTTCCTTTTAAAATTTTTATTATTATTATTATTTAGCCCTCAGTCCAGGAAGTTTTTTTGAGCCCTGCTGAAAATGTGTTGGTGGTTTGCTACAGGTTTCACCAAACCTTCATAAAACAGGAAGATGATAAGTGTCCTGTCCTTAAGGTGGATGAGATTGCACACTGAAAATGAGTCTCCCCTGCATACAATGTTCTGCATTAGTTCAAGTCTTCATGCATTTCATTTGTTTGAGCTCTTTGAGGGTAACCCAGCAGGAACATAGAGCCAAGCAGAGAGGGAAGAAGGGATGAATCTCTAAGGTAGCCGCAAGTTCTTAATTCAGCTAAGATGTTGTGAAACCACACCCTTAGGCATACCCTGCTTCAGTTTCTTAAACAGCATAGATAGGAATTGGCCAATCACTTTTAGAGACTTTAAACACCCTCTGGTTAATAAATGACTTGCCCTGCTATGCAGCATTGTGCATGCTGAAGGGAGTGCCAGCTTTCACTCACCATTCTTTGGTTTGTAGAAACACTGGTATTTTTTTCAGCTTGCTTTTCAAACAAAAAAGATACTGCTTAGCTTATTCACTATCTGCCTGCTCCAAACTCTCTGTTAAAAGAACAGTCTCTCAAGAATGTTTTATAGACTTGAATTAGTGTGCAGCCAGATGAATCAGGAGAATTTGGTATACAGAAATCTGTTCCCTATTGGGCTTTGGCTTCTGGGTCTGTAGTGCTTTGAGCCAGGTCAGCAAAACCAGAAACATTTTGTCCAGGTGTATTGAGTCTTTTGTTCAGCAAAAGGTCCTTGTGAGCAACCCATTTATCTAGACATAAAGATAAAATAGGAATGAGCCCTGGGAATTAAGAATTCCCCATGCTCTCCTCCTCTGTGAAAGCCATCCTTTGTCCTTCATTAACCAATGTGTGGACTGGGCTTTTCATTTTAGCTTTGTTTGGAGATCCTTTCCTTTGAATTTTCTTGCTTGTAGGTTTCTATTGACATTCGTAGGTAGGACTTTGTTTTTTCTCAGCTTGTTTTACATGCTGTCAGAGGAGATGCAAGGAAGGAGATCAAGACTGTTGAGGACTCTGTCCTCCTGTTCCTTTCTTTGAGAGGAAAAAGTTACTTGTTTCTTCCTTAGGGATGTTCCCAAGGGTTTTTCATGCTGGTGTTCTCCCCTCTGGGAGCAACCAGAGAAGAGAGGCTGGGTAGGTGTTGTATCATAAAATCATAGAATGTCCCAAGTTGGAAGGGATTCACAAGGATCATTAAGTCAAACTCCTGGTCCTACACAAGTAAAATTGTCATGGGAAGATATTGTCCCTCATCAGAGTTAAGGATGGGTTTCTGCAGAGGCTTTGTATTTAGATTTTCAAACCTCAATTCCACAAGGCTCTGGCAGCCTCATGTATCTTAAGTTAATTCTGCTACAAGTGGGAAGTTCCACTGAAGTCTTCCAGATTTTCCTTCTAGCCAGTTTTGGTTTGGTTTTGGTGTGTGTTTGTTCTTTGTTTTTGTGGTCTGGTTTTGGTTTTTTGTTTTTTTTCCTTTTCTTTTGTTTTCTGTGATTGCCATGGAATCTTTCTACTTCAAATGTATATAAGGAAGCTTTCAGTTTATGCTTTGGTTTGTTACTTTCTGTGACTCCACTGACAAAGGACCTGTTCTAAAGGACTCAGTCCTAGTGGTAAATGCAGTAATTATAGAAGCTGAGACCTCACCAAATCATCTGATCTGAAGTGAATTCAATTATACATTAGTCCTGCCTGACAGGTGTGTGTCTAAACCAGTCTTTCATTATTTTTCTGGCAGCTTCTTCCAACACTGTCCTTGTGTTGGAAACTTTTCCTGATGACAAAGCTGAATATCCCATGTAGTCTGAGTCTATTCTTGGATCACGTGGAGGTGGAAAATAATTAATTTCTTTCCTATTTGTACTCTATACACAAAAACCTCTATCATTGCTTTATGGTCTTCTCTCCAAATCATACATCCCTGACCCTTCCCTCTTTGCCAGATTTGCTTGATTTACAACAACTCTTGTAGATGTTTTCTGAACATTTAATCACTGGATGTATCACAAGCACCAGTATCTTACT